TGTTACAAATAAAACCATCCATAATGACCTTAATGTTTCTTATGTTTCAGATCTGGCCCAATCCATAAACCTATCCTTCAATATTAAACTTCAGAATCATCCCAACCCTGTCATTTATAACCTTGCTACCTCTTCAATTCCTGTTAACTCTCCGAGGCTTCTGAAAAGAAGATGGCCCTGTGATCTACTATTGTAGACATATCATTTGAATACTACCATTGGCTAGTTACTCAACAAGTGTTTTCACGTCATTATATCCATATGTACAAATTTACTAAATGTATTCCTTTAATACGGTTGTAAATATCATTAAGAAATAATAATAAAAAAAAAATCTTCGGGATGGCTTCAAAAGTTACTGCGTCTCTTAGAGGAGTATGAAAACAATCAAATCCAAGAATGTAACTGCAAGAGTGACCATAGGGGTAATTTTAACTGATAATAGTCAACTTATAGTACACGGGATAATACAAATCTGTGAAGAACAGGAATGGAAAATTGTCAACAACTGATATTCATTTTCTTTAATATTTATATATGGTCTGGGAGAAAGAGGCTTTTTGCCGAAATTTTTTATTGTTTAATAATTCTTGATATGGAGTCTTTTGTACCCTTTGAGTGCTTTAAGATGATTAGCTCTAGACTATCGAAGTAAACTTTGTCCTTTAGATTGAGCATTAATATTGGCACATTTAAAAAGCACAGTTGTTTAAATAAGGATAAAATAAGTCCACTATGTAACTATAAATATCGTCATATTTTTTTCCTCTATAGAACTGTAAAGAAAACCAAGACTCACCTAATATCAGTGGATGAATATTAATTAAAAAACATATCTATCATACCATGGTATACAGAACGTAAATTAAATGAAAATTGAACGGTTTCACTTTTCTTCACTTATTTTTTTTAATTATCTTGATTGCTGAGAATATAGTAGTATAGTAGTTATAAAATATAGTCAAATATTAACAACACTGATTGGTTTTAATAATAGAACCTACAATAGATCGAATCGGTCAACTAATTGACTCGAACACGAACCGAACAGAATTGGACAACACAAGAGTGACAGGCGTGTGCACGACAGTTAGACTGTTTCATCCATTATGTTCGAATCCAAACAATTGAACAAGTGTACAATAAATACTGGCGAGGAACGCTGCTCCAAATGAAAGCAACGATTTTTCATAAATTATTGTTATTTTAATCATATGGTAATGGGAATTTATTTATTTGATAGCTTTTCCAAAGACGTAAACATTCCGGTTTCAAAAAAACAAATTTGAACTATTTGATTTGTTTCCAAGGAAGAAATTACCGTTTGACTTCTTCTATTTATTTATGTCATTAACAACGTTTCAATCTTAATTCAATGGAATCCGCCATAACCCTCAACCACACATTTGATTTTTAAAACCCAATCATCCTTGCCACAGTTTCCAATCAGCAAAAACGACTACTTTCTGAAGCTATATTCATCAATTTGGAAAAAATAAAAACTCGGTAAACTACAAAGTAGACAAAGACAAGATCTGCAACACATATTCGAATATATTCTGCCACCTAAAACAATAGTCTATAATCATTAAAATTTTGTATTCATTTTCCCCATTTTCTCGTCAACTTTTATAGGTAATTATTCCTACGTTTATTATACATATATATATATATATATATATATATATATATATATATATATATATATATATTATATATATATATATATATATATATATATATATATATATACATCTTTACCTACCCTCTGACTATGTTTACCTATCTTTTGCTATCTGAAGAAGGACAACTGGAAAATCCTCCCCCTACCTATTCACTTACCTACCAAATGTGTCAGTACTTGAAAAGCTTTCAGTGCTCTAATCATGGTTAGTAAGAGAAAATATTACAAATTTTAATAAATATATTAATATATCATTTTTAGTTTATATGACTTTTTACATATTTCATTTTTAATATTGTGTATTGTAATAATAGTTAAGATTCATGTACCATCAATCACTATAGTTAATTATTTACCATTATCGGTCGTATAATATTATAACTCTGATTGTATTTTAAAATTTTCAGCCCCATGCTTATGGGGACCCCAAGATGACCCCACATGTTTGGGTTGAGATGTCGGCACACATTAAAAAAATTGTATAATGCCTCCGTCCTGTTTATTTATCACCCAAAATACTTATTTATGATTTAATGCATTTATTCAATCAATGTTAATGAAAAGATTTGTTTTTTATCGTTGGATTGGTAGTAAGATACAATAGGAATACGAAATATGAAAACTTACACACATATACTCTCGCGATCATATTACTTTTGATTCCATATTTCATATCAAATTTCTTTACTATATTCATACGTATTTATTTTTATTTTTGTGTTGATAAAATTGATTCCATTAAATGTTTTTGTTTATCTTAACATATTAAAGTTACAAGAAAACTTAAAAATGTTTCTCAGTTCAGTTTTGACTTTTAGGAACGAGAATAGAGAATCACCAATAAACGGTAGTCAAAATTTTGAGGAAAAAAGGCACTATGGAGCGAAAGAAAAAAAACTATGAGGAGAAAAAAACAAACGAACAATTTGACCGCTTAATTGTTCGATTGTTTTTAGAATATCATTTTAAAACTGGCAAAGAAATATTCGGAGATCTTGCTTATAGCAATCTGGTAAATAAAATGAAATTTAATAAAATTTTTACTGACACATGCAATTTACATGACCGTGACTGCATATAATAATATAAATACAAAATCATCTTTATTCTTTGATTAGGTCCCTTAAGAATAACAGTAGTGTTCATATAAATTAACCATGAATCTTGCCAAAAGGCCTATTACAATAAATAATAACAAAACACTAGTAATAACTTAAGTGTAATAGCTCTTAGGATACATTAGCGAGAACAGTTAGGTAATAGGGTTTCATACAATATTGGAGCTAAAATAATAGCATAATATTCACTAAATGAAATTAGAAAGGAACGCAAAATCAATTTTATAGGCAAAGCATATGAAATATAATAGTATATAAATATACTCACATATAAAATTTTTCCCTTCCCTTAGAAATGTTCAGACAATAAGTGATAAGTGCCCAGTCGAAGTTTTTCTAAACCATAGTTTTACACATACAATTAGCTAGAAGATTAGCTGAAGTTAGCTAGAAGATCTTTATCTATCAAATGGCTTGTTGTTTATAAAGTAATCAGATCTATGAAAGTTGGTAACTTAATAAACAACAGCTCACCATGCTTTCAACCACCTGGGGTAAGTCTTAAATGGCAAAGTTGGATTTTGCTGAAATGATTGACATCTCCCGCTTAAGTTAGGAGAAAGATGAAATAATTTCAGTAACTTAAGTTAGAAAAACATTAATAATTCTTTTAATGTTAGTGTGAAGTGTAGGCTCGTGATGTTTTTATGGGTCTTGCGTGATTTCTTTTCGTTCATCGCCGTAATGTTGTATAAACATACCGAGAATTACGTAAATATTGAAACTTAAGATCTAGTTGGTGATAATAGACTCGAATTGAAAAGAAAAGTTCATACTGGTCCGATACCAAACACAGTTTAATTAAAACTAATAAAGTTTCTATCGTGATCTTCTTGGTTGTATTGGTATATATTGAATTTGATTTTCATGTAATACATCGAAAATTAAACCATCTTTGTTTGCAAAAAAACATATATTTTTTTGTTTTTATTAATATTATTGAAATGAAGTTGTAAACTTCTTTAACTACATTAAATTATTTATTTTCTTAAGATCATAGATCATTCAATATTTTCTAAACACCATATAGGAGTATGAATGACTTATCCGATAAAGACCATAATTGTTTTTATCTCAGTAAATATTATTTTTGTTCCTTCATCATTTTTCGTAATATTTTTTCCGTCTTCTACTTCCTGATTGCATAAACTATATTTTTTTACCATAATCATATTGAGGTATTGTGCTTACTCCCTAGAAAAATACATGTATACCTGAGAACTAATCATTTTATTTGTTTATGAAAAAAAATGGTCTGTAAATCCAAGAGAAAAATTCGGTAACAATGTTATATAATATTTTTAAATAATATGTTTGTTGCAAACTTTATAAATGGCTAAAGGGTCCTTGACCAGCACAATGTGTGGTGTTGGTTTGAAAAATTTAGAACTGGAGGTACGAAGCTATAAGAAAAAAGAACTCCAAGTGACCATTAATGGATGTTAACAAGGTTCAGCAGTAAGCTGTTGAGTCAAATCAGTCCATGAGTACTTGGAACCTTGCCAGAGTTTGTATTGTATTGTGATTCTGTTAGAGGTTCTGTTAGTCGTCATCTAATCTCCATGGGAAAAGTGAAAAACAGCATTAGACTGGTCCCTCACGAACTTACTTCTCAGCAGTCGGCTAAAAGGTTAGAAATTTGTGAAAATTTATAGAAAAACCCTTCTGATATGCGACTCCTGTCTCATCCACCATATAGTCCAGACCTCGCTCCATCAGATTACTACACATGTAAATCCTTGCCCATTTTCTTCAAGGAAAATAATTTTGCGGAAATTGGAACTACGGTCCATGATCTAATAATTTTCTCACCCAGAACAATCACTGCTGGATCAGAGCTATCTCTTCTGGCTGTGTTTGACGTTAGATTAATTTTCCTATTAAATGATTTGTAGAAATACCTTTCTTTTTTCTTTAGATGTTTTTTTTGTTTTGGACACTTTAATAATTATTATTTTTATTGATGAGATAAATTTATCGTTTTTAATTTATGGCCGAACTTTTAGTATTGAATAATGAAAAAAAAGGTAATAAAACATAATAATTTAAGTTCTTCAAGGACTCTTTAACTCAAAATTAGTGTTTTATTAGAAAAAGGAAGTATGTCTAAAATATGAAAGGGTTATATATATATTTTTTTCGTATTAATTTATTAAAACTCTCAATGGATAATATTTATTTATGGAATAGAAGCTCACCGAAAATAAGTAACCAATAACCAGATCAGCATCTTCAGGTATTTCCAGTGAGTTTTTCCTTAAAATGTCTGTGCTAACCCAACGGCAATCGAAGTAACTTCTGACTGAGCTGTCATCTTGAATCCTAAAATAAAAAAAAAAACATAATTAATGAAGGGGAAAAGTAAGGGGAGGTACAATGACCTAATAATTAAAGTTAGTTGAAAATAGTTAAATCCGTTTTTCTTCATGTTAAATTATGTTGATAAATTGATTTATATAATAATTAATGATATCAATAATTTTAATTTACTAGATGAATTTATTAATACAGTCGTAAATATCATGAATAAATAATTAATAATAAAAATAATTATTTTATATTTTTCATCAATGATTTTCATGTAAATTTTTCATATTCACCATCTTAAACTTCCGCATAACTGTTACATATGTTAAATATGCTGTGTTTATTTTTATAAACATGTCTATCCACATAGCATTTTCTGTTACAATATATTCTCGAAAATTAGAAGTCTAAGGAACTACAAGAATACTTCGAATTATCATTCCGCAATAATTCTTTATATTTTATTTATCACTAAATAAATTACATACATATATCCTGATAATATTCTATTAATTTTCACATTTTGTTACTTAAATAACTAAATATTAATTTTATCTAGTACTGGATTAATAAATATCACGCAAAAATGTTTGGATGCCGCATGTGGTATCCGAGTTATATACCATAGACGATGAACCTGCGACCTCTAGCCCTCGTATTGCCTCCGTTACGTTAATGTGGCCTCCAAACGTTTTTGTGTTATATTTATTAATCTAGTACTAGAATTAATTAATATTTAATAATTAGATTACGAAAATTTCAAAATTAATAGAATAAATTTATTATATGTATACAGGAGTGTGTATTTAGTGATAAATAAAAATAGGAGTAGCTTTAAAAATATAAACATTTGTCGTGCACTGCCTAACCATTCTGAGGGAATGATAAAAATATTCCACACCTATGGTATATATTGTACCATAGTCAGTGATATTGAAAGTTGCTACAATTCTTGATATTTTACAGTTGCTATTTTTATTTATCACTAGATACACCCTCTTACATATATACATTCAAATTATTTCTATTAATTTTCGCATTTTCGTCATTTAAATAATTAAATATTAATTAATTCTAGCACTAGATTAATAAATATCGCACAAAAAGTTTAAAGAACGCAACTACATCACAGAGTACACATGCGGCCTCCTAGGCCGCGGTTCCACAGCTATGGTTTATACCATAGATGGGCAAACTTTTTATAATATGAGTCCGCTGTAAGGTTAGGCACTGCTGATGGAGGCCCCAATATTTTACAATTGCTAATTTTTTTTATCACTAAATACACACGCCCTCATACAAACATTTAACTTAATTCTTTTAATTTCTAAAATGTTGTTACTTAAATAACTAAATGTTAATTAATTCTAGTACTAGATTAATAAATAAAAATGTTTGGAGGTCACAACTACGTCCGAGGACGCGGATCTCCACGTATGGTATATCCGAATAATGATTTTTTGGGGAATTCGCTTCTTTGTGGAATATATCAAGGAGAAAGATAATCTGATAGTTTTTACTGGAGTATATTAGATATCACCATAATGCAAAAACATTATAAATTTAAATCTGGAAATAACAGATACGTTATGACAGGAATACAACATTCTATCATTTTACTCAGTTTCTCCTATAATCACCATTAAAATAGTCCTTTCATACACTTGTTAGATTTGCAAATGTCAGATTTTCAAAACATTACTATATTAGTTAAATTTATCAAATGTACTATAAGGGAAGGGTTTTAATAAAATCATAGTCATATTTGATTAAATATAATGATTATTGGAAATAAATCTCACAAAAAATAATATAGAATAAACTAAGTAATATATATATATATATATATATATATATATATATATATATATATATATATATATATATATATATAATATATATATATATATATATATATATATATATATTTATTTGATAAATATACTCAATGAAAATATTATTTTTACATAAGAGTTTCATAAAGGCCAGTTAAAAACAATAATTAAATAAAAAGTTTATAATAAATTTTCTAATAATAAAGTTTCTCAACTTAAAAATTTCACAAATATTATATAATAATATTAACTCGGTTGTATTAACTCGGAATTAATTCCAGTCATATTTCCTCTAGCTAATACATTAATTTAAGCTTCAATATAGATAATTTTGAGCCCAAAGCAGTTGATAGGTACAAAGTGGTTTGATGTCCTGTTGAGTGGCATGATTAGTCGCAGAGCCAGTGAAGTTAGGGGTGAATGGCAAAGGATCGGCTGCTTTCATGTTTGTAGAATTAATCTATTCACTGAATGATTCATTAAGATCAAAATAGGGAGCGAAGCAGCAAGTTTGACCAGCTCTAGAGCATTCTCTGTGTATTCCTGACGTCGCTATTAGCATATAGTCAAGGTAAAATTGTTTCAATAATTTGAACATGGCACACAAAACAGGACTGCAGTTTTCAGGAATCAAAGTATTTTCGATGGAATTTTATCTACGTATATATAAAAGAAATATTATATATTGAAAATGTTCGTTTTTAAATTTATTTTTTATAAAGAGGGGTTTACTGCGTTGGATATGGCCAATAGGTTACAATAACGAACCAATTATAAATTTAATAACATAAATTGAGAGCTTGTAGGAAAAAAGAATTCTTTATGATTTCCCGGAAATGAACCGGTAAGGAAAAAGAGCCAATAGCGGTGAGTTAAGGTCCATTAAATCACCAGTGTTACCCCGCTAACTGCTACAGTTAATTATGTTGACTAGTGTTATTAAATTATCCTGAAATTATTAAGCTGCAGTGCCATTTATTATCTTTTCACTTTGTAGGAGATTGTGGTTTTACCTTACGTTAGACAATTTCTTTGAAATTTATTGTAATAAATACATGTATCATTCGTACGGTAGAAAAACAATGCAACTGTAATTCTCGAAATAAGTTTTATCTCGTTAAATTGCCAGAAGGACGTGTTTAAACGAACAGACACCATAAATATGACTTAAGCTACATTTAAATGGATTGAAAAATATTATACCGGTACAATCGTTTTTAAAAATAATTATTACATTTTTTAATCTATATTTAATTTTTATTTGAACAATGTGGAATACATAATTAATTCAAATGTATATAGTAATGTTTTCAAGCAATAATAAAATATTGTGAGATAAAAAGGGTTTTAATAAAATCATAGTTATATATTGAATAAATATAATAATTATTGGAAATTAATCTCACAAAAATAATATAGAATAAACTAAGTAATATATAAATATTTTTATATGAAATATTAGGCTAAAGGTCACCAAATGTAAACAAAAATTTAAAAATTAGTTGGCAGGATCCTGAAAAAGGCCCCTGAAGCCAAAACGTCGAATAAATAATACAGGATGGAAAAAATGTGTACATTCGACGACCTTCCTAATATTTTATAATAAACTTTTAAAAAATAGCACCGGACCTAAAAAATATGACTAGAAAATTAAAAAAATATTGTTTATTATAAATTTTAAAAATAATGTTATCAATACATAGATCATTCTGATTATTTTGCCTCTTCTATAAAATTGTATTATTTGCAGTGACGCCATTCCACACAAGATAAGACATATATTGATGATAAAAAAATACTATGATCTATTTTTTTATTTTTTATTAATTGAATATTAATACATTCTGCCACATTGAAGGGCGTTATTATTAGAGATACATTAGTCATTTACACAATATGTACATACAAATAAGAACTAAAATAGAGATAATAAGTTAATAAAATTAATATAAATTTATTTATTATTTATTTTAACATTTTTTGAAATTTGTACCTTCGCTGCAGCGCATCTAGCAAATCTGACGTATTAAAAATTATCAGCGAATTTGCTTGATTATTATTTTTTTTCCTTGTTATTAATGTAGGAGTAGGTCCTTTGGCCATTTTCTTTTCAGTCTTTGTCGATCTGGTAACAGGGAGCAGGAAATGGAAAGGAGTATAGGATATCAAATTGGATGCGATGTCTCTTGATGATTCAGCAATCGTTTTGTCATTCGCCATATATATATATATATATATATATATATATATATATATATATATATATATATATATATATATATATATATTGTTATTTTCTAATCTACTTATAAGAAATAATGTGAAAACTGAAATGAAGTTCATATAGAAATAAGTAAGTTATTGGAACGACTTTCTATAAAGCAAACTATATAAGATTGGGTTTTTTTTTTTTACGTTTTTTGTTAAATATTTAGAAATTGATACCGATATTTTTATGTCTAAAATAAACTTCGTTGTTTTTTTCTGCCTTGCTGATAGTGAATACATTGAACTAATTAAATAATTCATACTTCGTTCCTCAATAACTCTCTGCCTTATTTTAAAGACAAGACTTACGTACTTACTATTGTAATCTGAAAACATAAATATGCATGGCTTGATAAGGTAATTCCTGCTGAATAGAAAATAGGCGACAGATATACATCAGACTTTACTAGATTTAAATTTATATGAAATGGTCCAAAGAAAATCTAATGGCATAATGTTTTGACCACACCAGACGTTAAATCCTTCAAAATTATCTAAAATTTAATCTGAACCTTTTGATTAGCAAGTAAAGTGGTTGGGTGTAGCACGGTGGTTTGCTTTTCGAGCTTAAAACCCATTTATCCCAACTTTTGTACTTAGTCCTCAAATTCTACTTCTCCAATCGTTCGTTCTGAGTAAGCTGTGACTCAGAATTTTCTGATTGTTATCCAGTCGTGGCTGGTATTCCGAAATGTCTTGGGTCCTATTCTCTACATTCTTTTCACTGCAGATTCCCTCTATAGATTAGATACTCCCTACAGACTCCGAAACCTTCCTAGCAACATTTGCTGACGAAACCGCCATCCTGTCCTCGCACTCAGACCCCGAAATAGCATCCCTCATCCTACAATAAGCCCTCTCACCGATTGAGCAGTGGTAAAACAATTGGCGCATCAAAATTAATGAATCAAA